TTCAAAAATTCTACCAAAGTGCTTCCGTTGCTCGAACTACACTCTTTACGATATTGCTGTCATCAAATTCTAGCAAATTTTAATTAAGCGAAGTAGGTACTTTGTAATGGTGTTTGGTAGATTTATAACTGTTGAAAGGTAAAGTTAAAGAGTTAACAAATGTTGTTTAACACAAGGAAGCACCAAAATTAGTTCAAAACAACTCAAAAATAAAAAATCTTGGAGCGCTCTCACTTTCACAAATTCGCCAGAATTGCCATTTATGAGTTTTGTTACTTTTGAGAATGAAATTAGTCTTTCTTCATTTCTTCTTCTGATTTGTTTTGGATCAACGTTTTGGTTGATTATTATCTCTAGATTTCATAAACTCTACTGAGATTGTTAGCTCTTTATTCGTCGTAGGGAAAATGCTACCAGTATCATATGCTAGAGACAGAAAAAGGAAACGAGATAGGTTTCACTCCGATATTCCCGCATAGGTCATTTTATAGTTTACCACTTCAAATTTTTTACTTACAAAATGATCTATGCGGGCATACTGCGCGGAAACCTATCTCTTCTCTTTTTCCTATATGTCTCGCTCTGTCGTCAGTATTATCAGAAAGCAACAGGCAGAACAGTTGTACTGTACACAGGCGCAAAGTATGAACACACTTCCATGGTACCTGCTGTTTATCACTGCTCGTCGTGATGTAACAACGTGTGTTACATCAAGACCTGCACCAGTCACAAAAGGTGGAATGAGATATTTGTAAGATAGTGGTTACAGTTTAGCCCGAAAAGGTTAAGGTCCAGCCGAGACACGTCTGGGGCCAAAAAATTTGTCAGTAATTGAGTATACTTGTGACAGAATAGATTTGAAGCAAGTTATCGGCATCAAGTTCGGTTTTTTCGAGCACCTTATCTTATAAACAATTTTGATGAGGATTTTGTTTTGAAGTAGCTTAATAGAGACTGCGTACCAAATAGGATTGATGTAGGAGCATGTTTTAGCAGGGATTCATTGCTTTCATTGAGCAAACGTTTGAAAGAAACTTCAATTGAGCCAGGTTTTACAAGAAAGAAATCTCTCCGTATCACTGTTGTGGATTTTTTTTTTCTGCGCGCGATTGGCGGGCGCGATTGTTCCTTTTTTACAACAAAAACGTAAATCGATACAACAAGTGTTGGTGAAGAAAACCTTTTTTTTTGTGCACGCTGGCCTGATGTATAAGTTCAAAAAACTGCAGTTCCTGTACGCATAAATCCGCCGTCCTGTAAGTTGTATGTATAACTTAATATGGAGCTGTCTTAGCTGTTATGAATTCTGAGACTCGAAAGCATCTTTACATTTCAAGAGCCTCATGAAAACTCAGATAATCCCCATACTTTTCCTAGTAAATTCAGTTTTCTTTGGGGTTTCGTTTTCAAACATACTGTTCATTTTTGTGCTTGACTACGTTGCCTCTGTCATTTTTGCATTAGAGGGATACTAATCTTCTCGATTATTTCCCAATTTCAGGCCACTTGTGTGTCCGTGGCTTAAGTATGACTGTAGCCAGATGACCCTGTATGCTGATGGTGGGAAGATTCCGTTTCCCAACAGGTCGGGCTTTCTTTTGAATTCTTTTATTTTTTGCTTTTTTTATTTACATTTGTTATTTTGTCTTTCCCACATTCTGTGGAGCAAGTTCAAAGGCTACAATTTGACCTTGTTTTTTTCTGTTTGATTGTACAGCCAGTATCACCTAAATTTTCATCTTTTCAGCTTTTATTGATTACTTCGTTTTTTTTCCCGATGGGTATGGTCTATTCTTTTTCATCTCTACGTTGTCTTCTGTTGGGTTTATCGCTCCTCTCTTCATATACAGTTTTTGCATTTTGATACTCTCTTCGTTTTCGCTTTCTTTGCCCTTTTTCACTTTTCATGCGTATTTTTTTCATTTGCACTTTTGAACATGAGTAAACGCTCGCGTAAACAACACTTCTGAACTTGAGTAAATAGAAGTGACTAATTGCGAAGTAAGAACTTTTTATTGTTATCGTTTCGCGCTTGTTCTCCCATTAATGTGGAGAAGCAGTGATCATACTCTTTCTGTAATAGAAGGTGCCTATTTCTCGCACTTTACCTAACTCCTCTCGTTTTGCTTGACTCTATTCTTTCTCCGTGGCTTCTTCGCTCTTTCCTAGCCTTCCTCTATCTCTCTTGTTCTTGACTACTCCTCCAGTTTCCCTTTATGCTTTCTCTTGAGCTGGCTTTCTGGGATTATGTCGCCTCACACGGTCTAGTTCTCCTTTTTCTGCTCTCTACTTACACTCGGTTACAAGTCAATTCAGCCATTGTCTGAAGATTTTTTGCGGGAAAAATTTTTTCCATCCCGCTCAGATTACCGAATTAAGTCTCAAATTCAGCCGTTCCACAAATAAAGCACAGGTGTGAGCATCTACTAATGTTTCAGAAGTATTTTTTTCAAGAGAAATGCCAGCTCATACTGATGAGAAATCGCGCTACGGTTGAAAACAGTCTCCGCGCTTGACCAATTTGTAGGCGTCCTTGCTTGCCCAAGTAGTTTGGTCGGCAGTGTCTGAGACTGTTCCTTTTTCGCGGCTTCACAGCAACTAACCAAGGCGCTGCGGTGTCGTAAGTGGCAGTTTTGACGCCTCCCTAGTCGTACCGCCCACCAGCTCAAATGCCATTTTCGTCACCAGCTCGGTTTTTACACCGTGTTTTTCCTTTTTTTTTAAACTACGTGGCATTAGCATTTTATGACGCGAAGAAAGGATATGTGAGCCATAGGATAGAGTGGGATATCGCTATACGCCCCGCTTGCTTGCATAAAAGAAGCAGTTCCGGGGGACTCGTGCAGTGGGGCTGCCAGATTTCCTAGGTGCTCTTCATTTTCTTTGCTGTTTCCTTCCCTGGAGAGTCATTTAGCGACTATGACTATGGATTTGTAATTGACCGCCGCTATCCACAATATGAAATCGTGCGGTTTGTCTTTGAAGGTTTGGGCTATGTCCGTGCGGCCGCACGTTTTTTTATTCCACAGCGTTGCTGCGAATGCGTCATATTGTTGACTGAATTTTTATTGGTGGCCGTAACCAACATCCCTGGTATTGATTTGACGGCATATTAACGCATAGTAGCACAATTTTAAGACATAAAAGTGATCAAGTGATTATTCATAGCTTCTGAGAAAGTTATCCTATTCAGGAGGGATCATCCGCCACATATTCCAACCGGTACAGCAGGTTTCGAAGTCTTCACCTTTTATCCGACTTATGAAGAATTCAAAGATTTCAAAGGATGCATACAAAAAATTGAAGCTGTAGGTGCGCATCGCAGGTCTGGGATATGTAAGGTTCGTTTCTAAATTAATTATATAACCTAAACCTATAAAGACACTTGTTTTAAAATCATAGGAATCAGCAAGATTCGGTGTTAATAACCTTCCGGGGGAGGAGTGGCTTTTGAAGGTCTGCTCCTACAAAATTATTCTTTCCATAATAAGAATGGGACTTCCTGCTCCCTGGCCAGGAACTTCTACCCGGGAGACGGACAAGACATTCATGATTGGTCGCGTCGTCGCGCGGCGTACCGTGCGGCAACTTCTTTATGTGCATCAGTTGGGTAATTGGAGCAGCGATATTCATATAAACCCGAGGGGAAACAAGATTATGAAAGGCGATATAGATTTTTCGGATGTATGTCGTTTGGCTCGATGACTTTGCCATCGTCGTGTCAGAGCACGTCAAGCAAACCATCTCCTAGGCAAGACAACTCGTCCAAACTTTGAAATAATGGTTTTCCATGAGTGCTCGCATCTTACAGTGCATCTTACAGTTTAGTTGATTTGGACGACCTGTCCAACTCACTAGATGCGTACCATAATTAGGGCGTGTCAGCGGCATTATGATCGCGCCAAACGACCGCCTCCCAATTTTTCCGTTCCTGCAACACTCATTCTTCAAACTTAAAGACAGCCCCCGCGCTCGAGTAGCCCATGGTCGTCCTTCCTTGTACAGGTAGTTCAGCCCCCAAGCTAGATGCTGTCCCACTCTCGCAACTCCACAGTGAGCGAGAAGCGAGCTACAGCCGCTCAAAGTTCTAGTTCTAACGCCCGCTCTCAGTTGGACCGCCTCACTTGCTAGCTGCCCTCTGACGGAGAGCCGCTCAGTTGCTCTTTGTTGGGACGGCGGGCAATACTCGGGATTGCAAGTCATTTTTGCAGACCGCGATGGTGCCCTTAGATAACTCTGCTCTCCTTTATCACATTTCATTCATTGAGAGCACATACAGTCAAATGCAACCATCTCGTAAGGTAAAACGCATAGAAATCACGAGTGATGCAATTTTTGTGGTGCAAAAGCTCGACTAGCAACATGCACTAAAAGCCGCTCGCTACCGTAACCCAAATTCGGACGCCGTGTCTTTAAGTTTTTTTGCCTTTCAGGAGTTTTTCTTCCGAGTTTTTATTGTTTTTCGTATTCTTTTCATTGCATTGGATGATATCCACTACTGAGAGATGTGATAAAGAGATTTTCGAGCCAGGGGTTGCCCACGGATCGCAGGGCGGTGTAACTGTAAGGGAGCAATTTCGTTTGTGGTGTTCTTGAGGGCTCTTGTTGCTTTTTTCCCTCATTGAGGAATTACTTATCAGCTACTGTTTCATAATTGATCAGCAATTATTCTTGCCACTTTTATCGCGGGAGCTGTCTTTAAGCAAAAATACTCGCCCGCCAAGCGCGGCGTCTTTCGCCATGCCCATCTGCGGGGCATGTAACTATTGTATTTTCACATACCCTTCTTCCCCAGGCTCAAGTGAAAACGTTATCACAAGAATGCTGAGTTGTGGGCAAAAGTCGTGCCCCAGGCGGGAGTCGAACCCGCACCTCACGCTTTCCGGGCGAGTGCGCTATCCGTTACGCCACCACGGCCACATTTATCCTCCCAATTTAACCGGTTTTATGCCTAGCCTACAGCACTTCCACGGTTAACTTGGTCAGCCGTAATCGTTTGATGTTCTGGTGGTGGCGTAACGGATAGCGCACTCGCCCGGAAAGCGTGAGGTGCGGGTTCGACTCCCGCCTGGGGCACGACTTTTGCCCACAACTCAGCATTCTTGTGATAACATAACGCGTACTGCGGCGTTAAACAGCAGTTATCATAACACAAAACGGCTTCAAAAATCAAGTAAAAACGTTTATCTATGTAACGGTTCAGCAAAATCCAAGGGCCCCTTGTTAGTGCCAAGATTATGATAATGATACTTGATGAAGTGATGGCGAGAGTCATCTTAATGTTTCAAGATCGTTGCTCCCGAAGGTTGGACTCCACGGCCAACCAAGGGAAAGTATGCGTATAAGGATGACCAAGTGGAACATTTCGTTATACAAAGGTATCACCTTTTTTTGCTGCAGACTAGTTTCTAGACTGTTTCGATGAAAGAATGAAAAATAGCTCTGATTGCAGCCCCGTGAAGGAATCGGTCGCTCGTCAGAATGAGGCCATTCTCAAAAGTAATCATGTCTACAAGAAGTCCATGTTAGCATCGGAATATCGGAAACTTGCCCAAAGTTCGAAATACCGTAATCCGTGTCCCGATCTGCAGGGCAAGGATATCGAAATGTTGGTCCTAACGAATATTACTTTAATTCGAAGGCATGAAAATTACAATTTTTTCAGCCAATATTTCAAAAATATGTTTACATCGCATCCGATTTATGGTGCCGACACTGAAGGTTCTTTCTACGATGAGGGTGTGAACGAGTTCAATATGAAGAAGCTTGAGACCATTCTGGACGAGACAAAGGACGCTACTGGAGGAAAAGTTGGTTTAGTGTTCTTACATACTGTTTACTCGGAAAATATGGTTCATTCCTCTTCTCTTTATTGCCTTTTTGAAGGCTCAAATCCTTATTCCAACCATCCACACGGCGGATCCCCTAGGGCGTCACCATACTCTGAAACCGCTCTTGGAAGAATCTGCGCCAAGGGAAAGTGGAGTGTTTGCTTTAGAGAACGCTTGACAAGAGTTAAAACGAGAATCCGCCCCCTGGCGAACTGCGCATCCTCAGTTCGCCATATTCTCAGCTTTGTATTTACTTGTTGTGTCCTCTGCGTCTCTCTCTCATCTTTCTTCTTCTTTCTTTCTTTCTTTCTTTCTTTCTTTCTTTCTTTCTCTCTCTCTCTCCACGCCATTCTCTAAAAACGCGAATTTTCCTGATTGCTGCTTACGCTTTCGTTCGCGCGCAATCTCCCGAATAACATATTTTCACCGTTCGCAAAGCTCCAAAGCGGGCTTAGTGAGTAACCCTTACTTGAAATATTCGAGTTGCTGAGTAAACAGAAGGTCCTGGAGTTAGGGTGCCTTTCTGTCAAACATGACAACACTCTCCCCCCCCCCCCTTCTCTTCCCCTCACAGTTTCTCCTCAGGTGCGACCTGCGACCCTCTTCCACAACCAGCCTTCACCTTACTAACCCTTTCCGAATTTGTCAAGCGGACGGGGACGGGATAAACACCCTCGATCGGCTCTGTGAAATATTGGTTGCTGCGCCACTTACTAGCTAGGTGGGGGAGGGGGTGTAGTTTGCGTTAAACAGGAAAAATCATCCCCCTATTTGGGATGCCCGATGTGCCGGTTCGGGTAATCACCGCCTTCAGTGCGATTAGAAGAGGTATTGGCTTTCTTTCCCTATCTTTGGTACGTTCAGGTAATAAAAGGCGTGAACTCCGTCTACCTGTACTTTGGAATGTATGGAGCATCGTTTGCATGGCATGTGGAGGACATGGAACTCTATTCTATCAATTTCCTTCATCATGGCTCACCAAAGGTGTGTTTGGAGGCAAAATGGTTCTGACGATATTCCAAGATAATCATTTTCAGTACTGGTTTGCGATTCCTCCAGAAGCCTCTCCACGTTTCGAAAGACTTATGCGACAACAGTTCCCGGCGTATGATAGGCAGTGCAAGGTATTTTTCGGGAACTTTCGGGTATAGTCGTTATGCGAGGCAAGTCGGCTAGGAAGGGGCATTGAAAGGCAGTGGGCACGATTGCTGGAGGCGGGCGGTTGTTTCCAGCGTCATTGGTGGAAAGGCTGCGGGAGGGCGTCCGGTCACACTCCGCTCAGCGCTTCCACCAATCACGTTGACGACAACAGCACGCCTCCAACCTTTGTGCCCGCTACCTTTATGGGACTCCTTGTGCAAAACTGGGATCACTATGGGGATCCTCAAAACCCATATGCACAACTGGGATGCTCAACACCCAT